CTTAATTCAAAATTAATCCTTTAATTTGAATGCCATTCTTTAATTTAAATGTGAAAGTCTTGTTTTCCAACATTAAAAAAATTTATTATTATTCTTAATTAGTGTGTTTTAAAAAGAGAAACAGTAAAAAAAACTAAATTATTTGAGTAAAAATAAGTTATTTATTTAAATATGGAAAGGGAAAGAATGAGCACATTAGATTCACCTTAATAATTTTTCCTTCATTATCAAATGATTAAAATTACCTTTTAGAAAATTTCCTATTAAATCTGTGACAGTGAATAAATAACTACAATCCCTAGTAGCTGCCATTAGTTTACATGTAACTACTATTGCACAGACGTACTACGTTTGTCAGATTTAGCAAGAGAGACATTAAAGCAGCTTAAAATTCATAGATGATTCAATCTGAAATAATCATCAAATCAAACTCAAATATTTATCGGATTTGATTGTAAATTCATTCGTCTGATTTGCTTCACTTGTCTGGCGACTGTTAAGGAATTTTGATTTATTCATCAATGATAATGTGAAAGAGGCTCTTCATGATAGAAAATAAGCTTTCTACATTTATCACTTTTCTCCATTAGGTAAGAACACGGCGAACAGATGGCGCTGCTGTGCTTTCCTCGTTAATATGCGTTAATTAAACATTAAAGTATGGTTGCGTAGAGAAGTAGTGAATGGCTAAATCAAACTGACGGAGTTATCTTCAGAAATAGATGAAACAGGATTTCAAGATGCGATGGAATTTTCTGATTATGAAAAGTTGAATTTATGTTGACTTCTCGAATGAGAATATTTTTCTGGATTAAATTTCTAATGAGGTAAATTGAAGACAGTTTGAATTGAAATAATTGTATTTACCTCGTCGTAGGGAAAGTTGAGCATTTGTATGTTTTGATCCGTTTGCTTTGAAAGACTTTGACTGCTCATTAATATTGAGAGAAACATAATCTTAAACATGAGTGAATTACTAATTCTACGAGCAATTTGAAATGAATAAATGAAAAGTAAAATATGCGTGGTGAAACTTGAAGTGTGAATAAAATATTACAATATACTATATTTCAAATAATAGTTATGACAAATAACCATTTTAGTTGTAAAAGACTTACTATACAAGAAAGAAAAATATTCGGGTAAAATTACCGTATTGTATGGTAATGGTAATGACATTTCTAGTTAAAAAAACATAAGTCTGTCTAATAAAACCAAAATATACGGTGCTTAAACCATTTATTTGGTGATTTTTCCGTTCGGTAACGGTTTGCCGGAAGTTCTGGTCTTCAAAATTATGGTTCTTATTACCTCACGTTAGTTTTTATTACCATGTTCTAAGATACCTTGATAAAATTAACAAATTTTACTGTAATTACCTAATTTTATCACATATTACACATTGACCGTAATTTTTTTCGTAGATTAGTACGAAATTAATATTCGAATTTAAAGGCGAAAGTTTACTCTCTAAATTTATCTTTGAATTTTAATCTTTATGATCAATTGATTTTCGTGCATTAGTTTCTCGCATTTTCTTTTTTTTACTCTTAAAAATATTTGAGTATTTCCATAAAAATTGGTATCCAAATCTTGCGTATTCTTATAGCAAAATTTTAGAAAATATATTCTGGAATTTTCAAGGTGAAACTTCTTTGATTAATTATTTGGGCACGAATCGTTTGCGGGACCTTAAAGCATTTTATCTCCAAAACTCTATTTTTCCTTCCAATTTGTGTGAGATTATATTTTCTCTTGCACTACTCGAGAACGTTACGATGAGTTGAATATGCAAAGCGCAAAGTAAGAAGAACAAATTGAAAAATATTTGAGGACAGGCAACTGTTTCGATATTATTAACAGGCAAAATCATTGCTTTCAGTACATAGAATACTTTCTCGAATCTTAATTTTCTTGTAGAAACTCTTCACAAGACAGCCTGCAGCTAGTTTTAGAATTATGCATTTTAGATGAGAAACATAACTCACGGAAACACTATTCTTGCTTTCAATACCCGTTCATCTAATTAGGTGATCCAGACGAGAAGAGCACGAAAAAACATTTTTCATCATACAGGCAAAGATGGTGGAACAATGTGTTTCTCTACATCACAGCATGCGAAAAATTCTCGTAGAACCTTCTTGATTAAATATATTAACCAACCGCGAAAAACTCGCCAATCAGGGTGTCGTTCATTTCTCTGAATTCTCATACGTGATGTTTTCACGTGCAGTGATAATAGCCTTTAATCCATCAGACTCATTGAATTACAAACTCTTGTAGTTTATGTCTAAAACAATAGAACCACTAGACCAATTTCCGAGATGCCACTAGATTCTAGATACCACTATATTAATTTCATGAGCAGCATTTCACCGTTCAGGCGTGGGAAAAACCACGACTCAGATATAACTACCCAGTATCAGGGCACAGGATTACACAGATGACATTATAAACAACCTCGTTTAACTTTCACGACTTCCTACTCAACCATTTCATTCACTCACTCCATTTTGCCGAAGTTGAACATTGTAGCAAAGATAAAGCTATATTAGGTTTTTAAGGTAGCTATAAAGATTTATTTAGATTTTTAAGGTAGCTACATAGCCAAATGCTATATTAGATTTTTAAGGTAGGCTTAACACACTAATTAAGGGGGGACCCCACCCTGAGATGGTAAAATATTAACGTTTTTCTTGAATTTTTTTTTAAGTAATAGAGACAATGCAGAGACTCCTTGTTTTTTCTATGTTATTTAGCTACAATTTAAGTCTATTTTAAAAAATTTTTCTTTTACAAAATAATAAAAAATAAGTTGGTGGCAGCTCTGCATGTGGCTGGTCATCAAAAAGTAGCACCTCACTAGCCTCATTGATTAAGAAGTCTTGAAACATAAAAAAACAATTTTACTTAGATTTTCTGAAACATAAAGACATTATCTAAAAATTAGCATAGCGGTTTTTTGATATTCGCAAAACTACCAAAATGGCGGTAACTTAAAAAAAAAGTTAAGTTTTTCATTTAAAAAATATTCATTAAAATACTAATATAAAATCGAAATATGAAAATATCAAAAAAAATTTCATGCTACTTTCTAAAGAATATATTTTTACGTAATTTAAAATAAAGAACAACTTATTTCGTTATATAGATCATGAGAAAAACGTTAGGCCATGTCAAAAAACAGCGTTTTGAGAAAAGCAAGTTTAAAGTTTTGACTTATGGTAGGGGAAAATGTTTAATTTCATATATATAATGATCGATAAATGAAATGCCTACAATAAGTTTCTATATACAGTCAAGAGAATGGATGAGACGCAAAAAGAATGTCCCCCCTCCTAATCCTGGCCAAAAGGGGCTTTCTACCTGCTTAGCGACGACTCTCTATTTTCCGGTATAACTTCCAAACGAAGTTAGGCACCGAGAAATCGTTTTAGACAGACATTAGGAAGGGTACAAAGATTCGAAAAATGCAGTAAAAAAATTTTCGAATTTTTGAAATATTCAGGGTGGGTTCTCCCCTTAAATGCATACACAGCACGACTTTAAAGCGAATTTTATCTAGCATTAAATCACGATGACTATTAAGTATTGGATAAAGTTTACATGAAGAAAAAAAAGAAAAGCCCAATTCTATTTTATGCAATGTATTTGTCTCGATGACAGAGAAATACTTCATTTCTAATTTGAGAGTATTCACAACTTGGCGAAACTAAGTAACAAATAAAATAGTCCCTTCCTTCGTATAATTTCGGCAATAAAAGTCAACAAGTCAGATTATCTGTTTACTAAATCACTCAAAAATAACGTTAATATGATTAGAGTCTCATAAGAGAAAGATTTACGACAAAGCTTATCCAAATAATCGAAACAGAATAGATGAAAGGCACATAGAAAATTACCTAAGCGAATGATTGAGGGTTGTTCTGTATTGCCAAAGAAAAAAATATGAAAAGCAACGTAAAAATTTTGCAATGTGAAATTTTTCTTAAATAAAATTTATAAAATTTCTATTTTAGTCATCATTGTGCAATGATTATTTTAATATAATTGAAAATAGTAGAAAACTCATTTATAAAAGAAAGAAATTCAGAGCAAAATTTTGAGCTCTGGTCTGCACAAGATTTGGTTTCATACTGGGAAAGTACAATCTTGTGGCTTTGTACTTCATTTTCTAATACTAAATTTTATATTCTTCACTTAGTTTTTAACCCTTCACCCATAAGCTTCATTTGGTAAATATTTCATTGTAATTATAAAATTTTTATTATTTTATTAAGATATTCTACTGTGTTTTTAATTTGATAGAGGTTATAACAAATTTTAAACGTACAGTAAGTTTCTTTTTCAAAAATGTTACTGTACCTATGAAAAGTCCGATGAAACTAAAAAGCAACGGTATTTAAATATTTACCAAGTTATGAAAAACCATCCCACGTACTAAATGCAAACTACTACAGGCTCTCGTTAAAGAATATGTATGATTATTTTTATTTTTTTTTTTGGAATGAAAAAAACGTGAAAAAGTTTGGATCAATTGAAATAAAAAATGTGATCAAAATTCCCAAAATGAGTGAAAATTTGATTTGAACATTACAACGTCATTGCAAACTTTAGAGCAATTAATAAAGTGATGATATATAGAAAAAAAAATAATGAATTTTAGGTAAGATCTCATCTTTAAGCAACTTATTGCTGGAACATATTTTTCCCCTTTATCACCTGACCTATGAGGGGGAAAAAAGTTTCTTAAAACATTCCTTTACATTATTTATTTATAAAAGTAAATTAAACATAATTGAACCAAATAATCATTTTGAGAGGAAGGCAATAAATCGATCATGAACAATTTCCGACGCAGTGTGACCAAACACTGACCGTCGGTCATTGCTTTTATTCACAGAATCGCCATACAGTTTCTTTTGTCCCCAATGTCTTAAGATGAATGATGGCGTCTCCTATTTCTTCTCTCAACCGCTTTTCTTTCGAGGGTAGCAAAAGGACGCTAATCTCGTCAACAGAGCTTCTGCAGGAAAATATTGCTGACATTTGATTAAGGCGACAACCTCATTTTTCATACCCGGGTAAGCTTAGATCGTAGAAAAGCCTCTGAGAAAAAGATGATGTTACTCCCACCCAAGTGAATTTATTCTTTTTGAGGCAGTTTATGGTCTTGCTGTCCATTACCTCCTCTTATAATGTTGTGTATAACTCGGCATTAGCTGAAGAAATAATGGCGATGGTTCTATTAAATATGGATATAAGCATATATATTATTCTTTTAGATGCGTACGTTTAACATCGGGATAATAATTAATTAAATGAGTCGAAAAGTTCATCATGCCCTTAATGCACAAGTAACGTATTAATCTTCCTCGACCTTTGTTGGTCAGCCTATATTTATTCTTTCCCTTATTATGTTTTTGAGGTACTTTATTATTCACAGCAATTCTTTTACACACGTTATCTTGTCACTCCTTTAAGTTATTACTTCGATAATTTTACTTCAAATAGTAATAAACATCATTATGTAATCATGCAACATATCAATATGTGCTTATTTTATCATTATTACAATTTATTGAGTTTGGTATTATTGTTACATATATGCAAGTGAAAGTTCGCAATAACGGGGAGAAATTTATTTAATAATATTTTATTAAAAATATATTACGTCAGTTAATATTTATCAATTTGGTGCAATTTTTTTTTTTACTTACACTCTTACTTTAAATTTCTTAGTTTGAATATTTTTATCTGACAATTGACTCTACTTCTGGATTAATTGTCTCACTCATGCTTGTTGCATAGAATACTTATGAAAATTTTTAATGTTAATAAAATTCAATGCATTAAACGAAAAAATTACACACGCATAGGCTAAATTTATGTTTTAAACGAACAACGAATGAAAAGGTACAGAACCTTTTTTAAAAAACGAAAGAAAAAAATTATAATTAATCCTATTAAGAAATAGATTGGAAGTGATATTAAACAATAAAACGAGTTTTAAAGAGTCTGAAAAACAGAGGTATTGCTTTTATTCCTTCTATTGAAGATTAGTTCGCAGTCATCGTCGACGTCAACATCTCGGTATTTTGCGTTCTCTGCGCAAATGCTCTCAGCTAGGTTTTTGAAAATCAACGCTTTACGCTTGCGCAGAAGACTCAATGCACTTAAAAATGGCCGTTGACATTCACTGTACTGTGTACACATATTTACCCTTTTTCACGCAAAAACTCGCGTTATTTGCTCTTATTACATGCAATAATGTCTTCCGATCAAACCTATCCTATCCAGTAATGTGCTATGTTCTAATTTCTTGCACGTCGCTAACAAAAGAGATTTTTGATTAAATGACTCATGAAAATTATGTAAAATGGTTCTTTAATTACCCTTTATCAGGATTTTAAATAAAATTTTAATCTAAATTCATTTTAATTGCTAATTTACTATGACACTAGTATAATGTGTTCAATTACTTGTATTCTTTACAGTTACTTAAAACGATTACATGAATTGTTAATCTAATTTTTTCGAATACAATGTTTCTAAGCCTCGCTATTTAAGTTTTTGAAATCGATTTCCACTTATGTTGCTAATTTCTTTTTCTTCATCAGGTGAAGTTGGTAAGGAAATGTATATAGTGAATCGTGGTAGGTTGCAAGTTGTAACAGATAACGGCAAGACTGTCTTAGCAACTCTCAAAGCGGGTAGTTATTTTGGCGAGATAAGTATCCTGAACATGGGTACTGCTGGAAATAGAAGAACTGCTTCGGTCAAATCAGTGGGATACTCTGACCTCTTCTGCCTCTACAAGCAAGATATGTGGGATGTACTGAAAGATTATCCAGCGGCAAGAGTTCGACTCGAAGCCATCGCTGTAAAAAGGTTGGAGAAATACAAGAAAGACGAAGACATAAAGAAATATGATCCGAAAATAAGTTTTTGTAAGTATTTGTTCGCTCAATTGCATAGACTGACTAATAATTTTAGTTTAATTAAAAAAATTTATAGCATGTGGAAAAATGAAAACAAATACCAAAATAATCAAGTTTTCAGAAGAACAATACTTATCGAGATTTGACAAATTAAAGCCTTTTTTTTTACATAATATAACCTAACAAGGATACATTATTCTTCTTCTTTACTAAGTGTCCGAAAGATTGTATTGATGGTTTTAAAGAGAAAAATATTTTTGTAGTTTTTGTAGAAACATAGTTGTAAAGAAAAACCATCGATTACCTAATCATCGATTTGATTTTTTAAATTACTATTCTTATTAGATCTGAACAATAACCGTTTAGTCAAAATTAAATCTATCATTTTTTGCGCCGTACACATCTGCATTTTGAAATTAATGCGTTCTTACCTATGACGTATAATCTCGAATGCTATTGCTTAACAATAATAGAAAATAGAAAAGCTTCTTAATATAGAAATGATGTCTCTATACAAATATTAAAAACCAAACTCCCGACTGTTATAAATTTAAAAATGAACTTTGATGACGAAACTCTGAATAAATTTTAGTTCAGCAAAATTAGACTTTTTCTTCCAAAAAAAAAAATACCCTAAAATTTTTCAAAGAAATCTTGGTTATTTTATTATAAATTATACTTAACTCCCCTGTTCTCTTATATACGCTTCCGCTTTTTTTTTAAAAAAAGTAGCGGCGATTTGTTGGGTAGAACTGAATTTCTTCTTCAAAGGCAAGTGAGGCATACTTTCCGATATGTTCTTTCCCACTAAATTAAATTAGACCAATCTTCAACGCAATATTTTAGGAGTTTAATTTGTTTCATATAAAAAAGGACAAATTTGTACTTGTGCCTTTTCCCACATTTGATATTGCTATATGAACGAACAAGGGAAGCATTATTTCCTAGGCAATTCTTCACGTTGAATCGAATAAAACTTTCGAGTCAATTGAACAAATAGATCAAAAATTTCAAGAGTTTTTATGTATAAAAAATACATTTTACACGTACTTATGTATACACTTCACATTGCAATACAAGAACTATTTGGCTGAATAAAGTATATTTACCAATGTAATCTGTCATGCTAAATTGAATGAGACTAACCCCAATATTTCAAAACCCTTATAACTTCAAAACTATTTATCATTTTATCTCATTCAACTCAGCATAAAAAAGTTATTTGGAAAATGTACGTCACATATTCAGATGGACCCCATAAAGCAAAATAAAACATAAAAGTATTCAGAGAACAATATCTCACTTGTTTAGTTGGAAATATCAAATCCTTAAATAAGCATAAATACAAATATGTACTTTCTGTACATAAAATGTTTATAACTTCTACAGTTCGATCGTCTGGAAATTGGTCTCATTCAACACAGCATAAGAAAGTTATTCGAAAAATGTACCTCACATGTTCAGATAATCCCCAGAAAACAAAATAAACATAAAAGTATTCAGAGAACAGTATCTCACTTGTTTAGTTAGAAATATCAAATCCTTAAATAAGCATAAATACAAATTTGTACTTTTTGTACATAAAATGTTTATAACTTCTACACTATTAGTTCGATCGTCTGGAAATCGGTCTCATTCAGCACAGCATAAAAAAGTTATTCGGAAAATGTACCTCACATGTTCAGATAATCCCCAGAAAGCAAAATAAACATAAAAGTATTCAGAGAACAGTATCTCACTTGTTTAGTTAGAAATATCAAATCCTTAACTAAGCATAAATACAAATATGTACTTTTTGTACATAAAATGTTTATAACTTCTGTACTATTAGTTCGATCGTCTGGAAATTGGTCTCATTCAATTTGTCAAATCAGAGTAAAAAATACATCCAAAACAATACCTCACTTACCTGTTTCGAAAAATATTTAATTCTTCCCCTCAAATCCCCCATTTCCCTCAAAAAAGGGGAAGCTACTAGAGGAGAATATGGGAATTTTGAGATATCATTTATAATAACAATTTATAACAAGGTTTTTTCTTTTTGTCAAAAAAAATCTTGGGTATGAATTTTTCCAAAAAACACCTTTTTTGCTATAATTACTGAGTTTTTCTTTAATGTACTTTTTACAAAGTAGCTACGTTTTTTTTAAAAAAAAATATTTTAAATTATAATAAATAAGATATGACATTATTGGCATGGACCACGATTTTTAATGAGCTATATTTATAAATTCATTCATGCATTGTGTAGTATGCTTAATTGTTATGTACATAACTTCAGTCTAATTTATTTTGAAGTTAATGCCGATGAAGTTAAACTCGCTTAAAATACTTCAACCAAATTACTTTCCCGATATATTGAAATGGAAGACAAATGCTTCGAAATATGAGCGTGAAAAATATTCCACTGGGTTCATTAGAAATGCTATTTTCTAGGGAAAATGAGCGTACATTTATTCTTGTGACACAGAAAGAATTTGTCAAAATAATGCATGTAATTGCTCTTTTAAAATCTTTACATGGTTAGTTTACGTATAAATTTTAATAATATTCCATTACGATTATGGCAATAAATGCTCATGTCAAAAACTCATTAAGGTATTAAGTTTGATTCTTAATGTGATTTCAATGCTAAATTGGTAAATAAATCTTTAAATAAAAAAAAAATTTCATAACGACAAATGTCTGTGCACTTTATAACAATAAAGCAGAAGGTTTCATTAATACACTATTCTGTATATTTTGTTAGAGCTGTTTTCAAAATAATTTTTACGTACTTCATGAGATCACAGTTATTAAGAACATTTAAAGTAATTTAGTTAAAAATACCCTTTAAATACTTACATTAAATTTACCAAACTGCAATAAGCATTCCATTCCATTAGTTAATTTAGGCATAAATACTGATCTTTTCATTAACTGATCCATATATTCTTTTTAATATTTATTTTATTCAATTGAATTATTTTCGCAGAAGCATTCGTAGTTGACCATTCATTACTATTTAAGTTCCATAAGCTTCTTATTTCCTTTTAATGAATTCTATTCTGCGCGTCGGTTTAAGCTAAAAATCAGACGAAATATATATTATCTCTTTAAAATAAATACAAACGATATTTTAAAAAATAAGTTAAACGCAGACGAAAATAAAATCGTTTTGATAAAAAAGAACCTTAAAAAAGTAAACGAGAGAAATATTTATAAGTTAAAGTATATGAATTTATTTGAGGAATAGTTTTAATAATTTTAATATAAGTTATGTTTTCTTAGTGGAGTAATCATTTAAATTTTCTTCCATTCAATTAATTTTTAAGACTCATCGGTAACAACGTGTCCTGTGATGTCACGAACAAATATTATTAAATAACAATCTTTTTTTTTAATTACAAACATGAACTTACATATTCACTTAAATGAACTTACAATTATTACTTACATAGTCAAGGATGATCCACTTTGACGTCTCACAAAACTTAAAGCTTCTTCTAGGCATATGAACCTCTGCGCCCTCTAACAACACTTAAAAGAAACCATTAGTTGATACAGTAGATATATATTGTTGACAGTATGTGTTTATACTTTAGTGTCTCTGTCCTATTTTTGTTTATTACTGAATGATTACATCAAGAACGATGATTTTATTTGCAACATGAAGTAATCAAAGCTAACTAGTAGTTATGCCATTTGCCGTAGGGTGATGCCAAAAACGTAGTTACTAGAGTGTTGTAATTTTGGCGTAATTACAACAATAGTGTTGTACAACAATACAACAATAGTGTTGTAAAAACATTACAACAATAGTGTTGTAAAATAGACCTCAATGTTCAAAAAAAGATTTTAATTGGTGTCAAAGAAATCCAAGGATAGAAATCTCCTTTGTGAAAATAAGGAATAGTACTAATAGTACAACTGTGAACCAAAATATAAATGTTCGAAAAGCTACTGATTTTTTTTTTAAAAGAGAGAAAGAGCACATATTCAGTTTGGTGAAACGCATTTTCAAAAGAACAGAAAATATATCTCTAATTAATTTTAATTAATTTTAACTAATATTTAGACAAACGCACGTTTGAATGCGATTCTTAATTCCAGTAACTAATCTTTTTTTTCTTTTTTTTTTTTTAAAAAAAAAAAATAAGGTGTTTTAAACTCTTTCCTGGCTAGAAAAATCTTTCCCATTATTTTCTTATAACTTAAACTGATTTGAGCAACGACTCTATGAAGTGTACAAATTCGTATTATCACGTGTTTTTTTTCACATAAAACTAAAATATTATCAATTTTAGGTATAGTGGTATTTCAAAAAATAGGAACATCTTTCGTCAATCACACTAAAACATTTGATACGTCAAAGCTGTTAAAACATTTTAAATGCTTTGGATGTAAACCTTTCTGAAATCTTTCATAGTAAACCATTCATTTTTTAAGTCTTAATTCCGAATGTTCCTTATTTCTGACATTGGAGATTTTGTAGGAAATTTTCATTAGAAAGGCGTTATACACATTAAATCATTTATAAATTTTCTGTGCGCTGACGTGACCTATCACTAAAACATTTTCATAACCTGGTCAGAGATTAGGCCTATAGAACTATTCATTTGAATAACATGCGATTCATCGTAATAAAGTCAATGTATTATCCTACCTCATTGTATTCCCGATGCCTGATGAGAGGAGGCTCGCTCTTCTTGAAACAATGAATGTATTTTTCTGTGTATGCTTTATTCATTGCTCGTTTAAAAAGCAAAATTAAATAAAATATGATTTATTGGCTAAAAAAGATTTGTGGCAGCGTCCCATAATGAAACTCACCTTTGGTGATCACTTTAATTAACAAAGCTAATACACTAGTCTACTTACCATAATATCAGTTATTATGGTTTATTTATAAATATATGCAAATGTACAGCTAGTGACTACTCCCTGAAAAGAAACACAATCTTCATTGCCTCATAGCAAAGTTTATATTTCTTCTCGTCATTCACCAAATGCTAGTGACATTTGTCAGTTTATCTAACACCTTATACCTTTTGTATATTTCCGCTAACCAGCACTTCCTGCCGGAATTATCGGAACTTATTTGTAAAATTATTCGTAATCGTTAATGTTATTAGCAAACAGCATTTGTAGAATTTCAAAACTTCTTGATTCATAACTTGAAGATTGTTTGTGTGTGGATCAATTTAGACATTCGAAATCTTAAAATATAGTCAGAATAAATTTAATAAAAATCTATTATTAGCTTGACAATCACATTTCTATGGCATTTTATTCCATATGGTTAACGAAAATATGCGATTAAACAAAAATCTGAGTTTTTGATTATATTTACATATTAGTTTCTTAGTTAATTTCTTCTCCATAAATACACTCTATAGCAAAAAAATCGACGCACCAAGAAGCAATCATCCGATTGCTTTGAAATTTCGTATGCATGAATGTTTTAAACAGATCAGGCTGGAATGATGCCGACTGGGGACGTATAGTCTTTAGCGACGAATCCCGCTTTTCATTCTATATATAAAGTTCTTGGTGTCCGTTACTATAAGGCTAACACATTGATGATTAAATATGCACTAAAATTGGATCAAATTATGAAACGTTAGAAATGCTCAACACTTTCACTAAATTATTTTTTGAATTACAAAGCAACAAGAAACGAAAAAAGCCAAATCGGCCTGATCCCTCTCTCCAGTGGTAAATGAATGGTAATCAGTTCATCTGACAGATAATATTTTTTAAACTAACTGCTATGATGGTCCTTCATAAAGAGTAAAAAATACGAATCTAAAAGTGATCTGTTCTTGTTATTATCTTATAATGAAGTAATAATTATTCAAATTTCGTTTAGTGACAACTCGTCTATCTGTTCCGGCTGCATCTGTCATGGCTCGCAGCAGAAGTACGCCTGGTCTCGTTGAATCTCGTGGTAAAGTGCCTCTAGAAGAAATGCCTATTCCGGACGATGACAACCAGCCTGTCAGCAGTTCTATGGGAGATCCAGACAGCTCAGGAAGTACTAGCAAACCCCCTGTACGTTGTCATTTTCATCCCTCAAGTTTCCTGACACCCCCAGTTGCTTATGCCGTTCAAGGAGCTTCCAGCACCCATTCCTGTGCATCGGACTCAACACACGCTGATATGCTTCGGCCAACGTCTAGAACGAACATTCACCTGATACCGTCCTCCCCAAATCGAACTAGATCCCCCATGCCGCCTATGGGCGAATACGCTTACCACTTGGACCAGCACAGCTGGTTTGCACCACCACCTCCACCATTCCCCCTGACTTACAGCTCTCATTATCCAGCTAGAGAAGCGCTGATGGCAGAAGTAAGCCGACTTCGGGAAAAGTTGGTGAACCTTGAAGATGACAACACTAAAATGAGGATGCAGCTCAGCCAGCAACAGTGGGACTTTGAGAACCGACTAACGGGATTAGAGTTGCAGTTGTGCTCTACAACAGGTGGTACGACACCGACTAGTATGCCTAGTTTAGATAAAGAAGAAAATGAAGAGTCGGTGATTTAGTTTTTTTAAATTAAATCATTGATAACGTGTACATTGTTCGAAAAAGTGGAATTACTAGATTTGACTTAAATGTTTCCTATGAAATAATATTTTTGCATTTCAATTCTTTGGCTTCATTTTCAGAATTGGTATTTTCATTTATTGTTTTATATTTGCTTTTGAAATTATGAAATAATTACAAAAATTATTTTAAAATTGGTATACAAAATTTGTGATTAAGTTTTATTTGTTTAGGAAATAATGAGGGGCGTAGTTATCCTATTAATTTGAACTATTATCCTTATTTTTGTAAGAAATATTTTTAATCATGAGTATAAACTATAACAACAGTTTCATAATATCGATTATAGAAAAAATAATATGTATCATAACCCTACAAATCATACTATGTAATATTTAAAAAAAATCTACTATGATCACTTTCCCTATACCTATAACACTGATGAAAGGTAAAAAAAAATTACTACCAGTACTTAAAATTTTTTAAAACTTTTTGACTTTAAAAATATTTTCCTCTTTTTAAATTTAAAGACTGCTGAAAGATTAAAAGATATTATAAAAAAAACTTGTATTTTAGTATTAATAAACACTCATTATTTACAAATTGTAGTTTGGCAATGATGTCTTTAACTGAAAATTTTTATTTATTATTGAATAACCATAATCATCACAACTAATGATGATAACTATTATCATCATTAGTTAATCTCAGAAATATACTGAATTTGTAATAAATCATCAGCTAAAATTTAAATTTCGAAATTCTCTCCCTTTTAATAATTCTTTTCAAAGCATCAATGGAGTCTAATTATTAAATCACAAAGAGCAAAAATTCTTCTTAAAACAAATTGTAGCGTTCTTTGCTAATTTCTTGCGTATATTGACATTCTCTAATTTCATCTTTAAACGTAAGATATGTTACCGGCAAAGTTGAAAATCTGTATTGTATGCATCACTGAGGAACTGCAAACAATACAACTCTGTGAGCGACCGACAAAGTATGAAATTATTAAAAATTTCCCATGTTTCCTAGGCATTGTATTTCTTGGCAATTTTTTACAACAAGTTATGTTCATATTTTTATTTTATTTAATAAGAAGTGCATAATGTCTTAGTAATCGTCAAGTATTATTAATAACAACCAAATTAGTTGAAACAATAACCCCCAGGAATTTGTGGGCCATAGCCCAGTATTTGCCCACCTGCCCAATCTTTCCTATGCCGCTTTCTTTTCTCCTTCTTTTTTTTTCTTTTCTTAGTTTAATTGTAACTGCCTTGTGATACTTACGGTGATATTTTTCCTCATGCAATATCATTAATAATAAACAAATAACCTATAAAGTAAAACTTACCTCTCATAGAGAAATTAATATATCAAATAACGAATATTATAACTTATTTCCGTACTCACATTTCCTTACGTCACATTTTCTTTTAAACAGTTTGTTTTGATCCTCATCTCAGAAAAAAAGGAAAAGTTTTAGTTTTTCAGTTTTAAAAAAAGAAAGTAAAGAAAAATGATAAGCTTTTTCTTTTTCTGATACCCATTTGCCAAAGCATACCATCATACTTTACCTATGAAGCATATGCCATTGTATACAATATCCGTGTCATTGTATCATTGTATACAAATTATATCGGTCTGTAAGCTTTTTATTCTGAACGCAGCTCGAAATATGCATGATTAAAAAATGGACACAGCTTGATATGAGTGTTTCAGGAAATGGACACAACTCAATATGAACGTTTAGGAAAAGGGACACAGCTCAAAATACGTATTTAAGGAGATGGGAACACCTCAAAATGTACATTTAAGGAAATGAACACAAAAAAAATAGCCTCTTCGATGTTAAAACTTAAATTTAACAACGAAACCACGAATGAATTTTGAACTTATTTTTCCTTACTTTAATAGAGCAATCATTACTCAGCAAAATCTCGGACGTCCCTATCTTAGTGATTGTTATATTACAAATTTAATTTTTCAAGCATTTTTTTTTATTCAGAAAACTAAACGATTTTAAAGTATTTTAAAAAATAAAATCTTACAACATTAATTTAATGCCACTGTTATTAATGACTTGGTAAAAGAACTGTTGGCTTTTAACATTTTTTTTAAAAAAGACTGATTTAAAAAAGCGTATGGATGACATTAGATTGCAAATCTATTTGAATTCATCAGTTTTTCTTTCAAAAAAGGACATTTATAGAAGAAATGTAATCAAATGCCATCTCCATTTTCTTAAACGCATCATGAGCTGCTTCCGCTTTCTTAAACAGAATTTTCAAGCTGTGTCTATTTTTAAATACGCATTTCGAGGTGTATCCATAATAAAAGGCTCAGAACGATATAATAATTCTCACATTCTTACTTAGTTAACTGCCAGGGATTATTTATAAAGACGGTATTTCATACATTGCCTGTAATATAGATTGTATACATAAAAGAAATCAGACCTATTCATAATTTTCGACAAATAACTTGACTTGGAAAAAAAAACTGGACAAGAGCAAATTTTCCAACCTTTGACGCAGAATTTTTATTAAAATTATTTTTCATACTTTTCATCTCATTATTTTATAATAGTTTAAATAATTTTAAATTAGTTAATAATTCTAAATTAGTTAAAATAAGTGAAAAATGCTATATTTAGCATTTTTAAATAATTATTTGTTAAGAAATACAGCAGGAAACAACGGTGTCTTTTTAAGCGTTGAAGGCAATATCTTCCTAACACGGCTTTGTTCCAAACTATAATTTTTCAAATTTGTACTTATTTGCAGTTATTTAGATCTCAGGAAAACTGCTATTCATCATTGAAGTTTCATTAATTTATAAAATTAATTATAGATAAAATTTTGAACATGAATGAAAAAAATAAAAAAATTAATTAAAAAATTTTTAAGCTCCTTTTTTTTGGATTTTATATTTTTGTACAAAAATTATTACGATATTCTTACAGATTAATTTCAATAATTATTACACTGTTTTTTATAAATTATGAAATAGCAGAACATATTTTCGTTTATAATTACAGTGTCAGAAAAAATATATAGAAAAGGAACACCATTTTTCCATCTGCGTCAAAGGGCTAATCTTCAAATCGAATTCATCCAGAAAGTGTAATTCAAATTTCATTCAGTAAAACCTCATTCAGAATATGTCTTATTGTCATTTAATAGGAAATTAAATATATTATTAATACTGAGCTGGTGGTTTAATCAACTCTGAACAAATAAACTCAATTATCACAAACACAAACATTTATATACTTAAAGGGATTTGAAACTCTCTATTATGTTATTCCAGCGCATTTTGTGAACATAGATGTTGAATAAAACTCTCTGTAGCGAACTTATAGGGTTGCCAATAAACTAACTCGAGACAGTAATACTAAGTTGAATGAATTTTCAGGTATTTCCATTTTAGAACATATTTCCAAAACAATATCATTTTGTTCAAGCATGAAACAAAATCCTGAGTCCTTTCCATAGATTACTGACTGACATTCGCAAAGCAAATTAATAATTATCATGTAAACTCATTTAAACATAGGACAGAAAAAAATTTCCTATATTTCATTTAGGTAAATCCACTAGAATAATTCAATTTCCAAAATACTTTTTTAAAAAAGTGGTAAATAACTGACATTAAGGCAACCTCAATTAAAGTTAGTCTGTATTGATTCTCATTAAGAGTTGTTTCTAAAATTAATATGAACTTTAAATCAAGTTACTTTCTTGCAAAACGACTTACGAGGAATCTATATATGGCATTTCCGTTTCGAAATATTGCTGGAATAAAGAATGGCAGGAATTGCAACTCATTCGTAACTCATTATAGACCCGGATGCTGACTTATTTTCTTAAATTTCATTAATATCTTTAAAAAAAATTGAAAGTTACGCATGAAAATTATGTTACATAACACTGTAGAATAAAACTCCACGGTATGTTTAACATATCAGACTGACAACTTTCAATAAAAATGGTCATTTACTCTGTAATACAAGTCATTAAACAAAATTTTTGAAGGGACCTATTAGGTTTTTTTTAATAAAATAATTTATAATTTCAAATTTAAATCTATACATAATTAAAATTGATTGCTTATTCTTTAAAATAATACATAGTAGGTATTTTGGTGGCGTAAAAAATTCGATCTTAGGTCGATATTTTTCGAGGAATTGCCCTCATGGTACTTTTTCTGGAAATTTATTAACATTGAAGTTTAAAACAGTTTTAAAAGCTTAAAATACTTACATAAGCAAACTATATTAGATTACAGAAATGGTTAGAAATATTTACGAAAAACTTAAAATGCTCAATTTTAGTGAAGTCAAAATATATGCTTAGTTTACATTTTTTCAAAGACATTTCCGAAGCTATTTGGATAAAATGATTAGATAAATATTAAACTCCTTTTTTTCTAATTACTTAACACAATTGTGCTAATTATTTAAATTCAAAATGTAGTTTATGTTTCTTTATTGCATTTTAATGAATATTTACTGTTTTTTAAATTTACAGAAAATTTATGTTATATTTCTATTTTTTTTTTAACAAAAATGCACAATGGAACATGCCTGGTGCTATACACTTTGTAATAACTGCACCAATTTGTACAAAATGTCAAAAATATAAATAGTAGATAATATCTAAGAAAACGCAACATTATTTCATTGAAATTTAGTCACAGTTGAATTCGATAGCTGCTTTGGAGTTACTTTAAATTAGATATGATTTGGTATAACAGCACAGTTCATTTAGATTTCTAAAACATATTCTTAGTACATAGTGATTTTGTTTTAAATTTATCTTTAAAACTCGTCTTAGTAATATTTTTACAGTAACTATGATAATGGATCAATTACCATTTAATCTACACTCTATGTGATGATACGACCTTAAAGTTAAGGGAATGGATAGTTAAGCTGAAAATAAAGTTTCACAAACAGTGCCTTTGCAGGTGAAAGTCATTAAGACTTCATATTTAGCAGTTGTGACTCTTACTGTGCTTGCAGTCCATTTGGCATAGTACGTTGACCACGTTGTGACAAAATGGTAATGACCTTATAGGAGTTATGG